CCCAGAATCCTAGGGCCTCAATGTGATAGTTTTTGTTTACATTGTGTGAAATGTATTATTATAACATTTTGTTCAAATAAAATAAATTATATAAAACTTATTTATTAAATGGTTCCACACCAATTTTTCACATTGAGAAGGGTTCCTTGTTGTTGTTGTTGTTAATTGCAAAGTCGTGTCCGACCCATCGCGGCCCCATGGACAATGTTCCTCCAGGTCTTCCTGTCCTCTACCATCTTCTGAAGTCCATTTAAGTTCACACCTACTGCTTCAGTGACTCCATCTAGCCATCTCATTCTCTGTCGTCCCCTTCTTCTATTGCCCTCAATCTTTCCCAGCATTAGGCTCTTCTCCAGTGAATCCTTCCTTCTCATTAGGTGGCCAAAGTACTTGAGTTTCAACTTCAGGATCTGGCCGTCTAAAGAGCAGTCGGGGTTGATCTCTTCTAGGACTGACCGGTTTGAACGCCTTGCAGTCCAAGGGACTCGCAGGAGTCTTCTCCAGCACCATAGTTCAAAGGCCTCAATTCTTTGGCGCTCAGCCTTTCTTATGGTCCAACTTTCACAGCCATACATTGCAACTGGGAAAACATGGCCTGGACTATACGCACTTTTGTTGGCAGGGTGATGTCTCTGCTTTTTAGTATGCTGTCTAGATTTGCCATAGCTTTCCTCCCCAGGAGCAAGCTTCTTTTAATTTCTTGGCTGCAGTCCCCACCTGAGGTGATCTTGGAGCCCAGAAAAATAAAATCTGTCATTTCTTCCCCATCTATTTGCCAGGAATTGAGAGGGCCGGATGCCATGATTTTGGTTTTCTTAATGTTGAGTTTCAAGCCACCTTTTGCACTCTCCTTCTTCACCCGCATCAAGAGGCTCTTTAGTTCCTCTTCGCTTTCTGCCATTAGCGTAGTATCATCTGCATATCTTAAGGGTTCCTTAATATCTCAATTTTTAAGACCCCTATAATGCAATTAGTCCTGAACTTACGATGACAGATGGGACCAGGACTGCCATCATTAAGTGACATGCTCATAAAATGCAACATCATGTGACTGTAACATTTAGCGACAGAAATCCAGACAACCCTGGTTGTCATCATAACCCCAAGACATGCAGGTTATTAAGCAGAAAGGAAAGGAAGTTCCAGGTAAGGAATATGGGTGGGATGGGGGGGGCTGGCACAGGCCACATCCCAGTTGGGTGTTTGGGGGGGGGGTGTTGTAATATGGTGTGGACTCAGGAAGGCCAGGGAAAGAGGGTGAAGAGTGTGTGCGTGCATGTATGAAAACACAGGGTAGTCAGAGAAAGAAGAAGCAGGATGCATGCGTGTGCACAATGAGGGACAAAGAGGAAAGCAGTTATGAGGCGGAATGGGACAACTCGTCGCAGCCAAATCACCACAGCCAATTCGCCGCAGCCAAATCACCACAACCAACTCACTGCGGGACAATTCAACAATTCAGTTTAATTATTTAAAATTATTTTCAAAATATTATAACTCTTGCCATTCACATTTCATTTTGTCCTTCCTTTAGCATCCTTTCTTTAATTATTCTATTCCACTATTTCTTCAATATTAGTATAACTCTTGTCCCGTGGCAAGTTGTCCCACAGCGAGTTGGCCATGGCGAGTTATCCCATTATGGTGAGCTGGCTATGATGAGTTGTCATAGATCTGTTATGAGGTGCATGCATACCTATGTAGTGTAGATGTGCACGGAGGCTGAGGGAAAAGGGCACTGGGTGGGCGCGTGCAAGTACAGAGAGGTCAGAGAAAGAGGGCAAGTAAAAGGGTTAAGGAATCATGATGCATGTGAGTAAAGAAAGGCTGAGGGAGGAGAGAGTTAACCAAGCAACTTGGCACTTCCTAGCTGGCTTCCTGATTGACTTTTACTTGAGGAAAGCCAGCAGAGAAAGTGAGCAATGGACACCACGTTACCATAGGATGCTGCAATCAATCATAAGTACAAGTTTGTTATCAATTCCTGAAATTTGTTAACCTGCAAATAGCACTATAATAGCTGGAATTTTGAGGACCGGTTGTCAAGCACCATTGTAACTTAAAACTATCTCTAGGCTGTTTAGACATCATAGTCTCCTTCAGTTATCTAACCAAAATATGAAGTTGACTTGTGTTTCAGAACTATAGTCATGATACATAAGTGAAATGTTTCAAACATTCCTAAGTGCTACCTAATTATAATTAAATATAATTGTATATTCAATACAGTAAAATACATCACACCATCTTATTTGATGGAACTTCATATTTTTGGATGAGAAGAATAGGAAATTAGAAGGTTTAAGGCTGGTAAATGTATGTTACTTCAGTCCTTAGAAAACTAAGATCATCGTAGGACAGGATTATAAAACAGGAGCAGCTACATACAAAATCTGGACCAGAAATTAAATATTCAACACTCAACACGCTATTACAACATCGAGGCCAGGTTATGGGATACAGGTCCACCCTGGATATGTAAATTAATAATATCAAGTAACCTCAAGAATAATGGAAGACAGAAACATCTACTGCAGGAATAATAAATTAAATGAAGAACTAAGAGGAGAGAGGCAATTGCAGAAATAGAGAATATCTACATGAATAAGGAAAGAATTAAGCCAAATACAAGAAAGAATTTTAGAAGCTTCTGTAGCAAAGGAAAGCTACATCCTTCCTAGATTACCCCTCTTGAACATGACAATAATTCTACATAAACACGAATAAGGAGTGCTTGGTGCTCTCTAAGCTTGCTTGTTTTCTTGCAGACGTTTCATTACCCTAACTAGGGAACATCATCAGTGCTAGTAAGGAGTGAATATGAATAAGATTATAACTATTTTTGAGGTTTAAGTGTAATGGGGACCTTGTGCTCACTTGCCATTTTATATGAGCCTAGTTTATATTATGTAGCTACCCAGCTGTTATCCATGACAGATTTTTGCTTTACTTCTAAATAAATACATTTCAGTGAAAGACATTTTAAAAACAACTAATCAGAGAAAAGAGTCATTAAAGTTAGCAATACAAAACAACATTACAACAAACTTTTTTTTTTAAAGGAGCACGTTAATCCCAAATGAAATATCATTCAGTTTAAGTAACTTCTAAAATATAAACTATACCCAGTCAGGCAAAGTACAAAGCCAGTGTTGTCAGAATATCAGATCAGAACTGGTGATTCAGAACTTAAACAAAACATGTAACAATAGGAACAGCAATGAAAAATTAAATTAAATTAATGGGTACAAGACCAATGGGACCAACGGTATATTACACCACGACTGATTGTTAACATAGATAATCATTAACTAAACATTGTTAGTTGGGAAATTGAATTTGGCTTGGTCAGATTTTATGCTTCCGAGCTTATCCTGGGACACATACATTTGCCTTCATTCATTGTTAGCTGGGTTTTGTTTTGTTTTTGTTTTGTTTTTGTTTTGCATATTTGATGGCCCACAATTCTGGAAAATGATTTACAACAAAATGAAACAAATTCTAAAGGTTAATTCTCTTTCCAGCCTTTTATTTTCCTATTAATGATTATTAAACCACAGATTACCCAAGGGATAACAGACTGGCTTTGCATATGATTATACCTGCTTGGATAGTCTATGTTTCCTATTAAGGAATTTAACTGTAGGAATATGCCTCAATTCAAAAATAATCTTGGGTCTGAAAAATAAATCTAATACAAATTCAATTCTGCATGGAGCTATGAAAATTCACTAAGTGATGTGAGACAGTTATGATGGCATAAACTCCCTGTAAAATATATCCCATCAAGTTCTTTGGATGAAAGAGGGAAAAAAGAGAGAGATGAAATGAAATGGAATGGAATGTATAATATTAGAAAAATAAACAAGCAGAAGAAAACATATGCTGGTCATTTCCCAAATCAATCATTATGTCTCTACAATTACTTTATATAGGGAAGAAACAGAATATTTATGTAAAAGGTGGAAATAGAAATGCTTTAGCTAATTTGATCCCAAATTAGGATTAATTCTTCCGTTTCAGAGAAACAGACTGGCATTTATCAAAAAATAAATTTAAAAGTTGCCTTTTAATGCATCTACTTCTACATGAGATATAATTAAATGCTTTCAAGGTATACATAGTGTTGCTTAAATAATTTCTCCTGATGAATAAATATTTATTACTTTAGTTTCTTTGGAATGTTAAACAGCTACAGACATTATATAGGTAAAATGGGCCAGTGTAAATGTTTCTATATTGTGGTAAATCTCCCAGAACTACACAGTCTCCTATCAGTACTTATCTAAAGTCATTCCACTGAGTCTGAGTTACTTATTTTTTTAATGCTTAATTAAGATCTTCATAAACCATAGAAATGGCATGCAGAATTGGGGAGGGGGATATTACGTTGGAGTTAGGAAAATTACAAAAACAGATATTGTACAAAAGATCACAGCTTCAGTAGGCGGCTGTCAACTGTTTATATTTCTTTGAAATGATTCTGTGCTACACCCACGCTTGTGCTATTATGTTAAGGGGAGAGAGAGGAATCAAATTCTTGAAGTCAAATTTAATAAACCAGGAAATCTGATCCAAATACCACATAATAAATTAGTTAGAAGCCACTAGGAAAAGAGCCAGCATCCCCATCTCCCTTAGTAATACATTTTAGTTTACCAAGGCAATGATAGCAAAATCAGCTACAATTATGTTAAATATTTATTGCTAAATCCATTAATATTTTCCCTAAAGCACTATGGTAAACTTTCATAGGGAAGTGAAGCACGCTGAAAATGTAGCTTGGAGCGCCCTCTACCATTCACTGTGAAAAGGGTTTTTTTTTTTTTTTTGCCCCTATATATTTCATCTCTCTTTTTATGTTTATGTTCATATATTTAGAAATTTTGCATGTGCCAGAAACTAGTTCAAATAGGCAGTCTTAAATCCCCGCTAAATTAGTGAGCACTGAATGCCAATCAATCTGGACAATTATTTCTAAATGTATCATGGTTACTCACAGGGCCATTTCAAACTGCTCGAGCCATTTCTTCTTCAAATCTTTGGTTTTGCAGTACAGCTCTAAGCCGTTTTGTCCTTGTGTGTGGATGAGGTAGAAGGCGTAAGACCACTGTTTAAACAGGAATAAAATTCAGGAATTAGCTTTTAAGAACAAAGAAATAACCAAGCTGGAAAATGCCCGGAGGACACACATTTCTAATTTTGCAAAGTTCCAGGAAAATGTAATAACAATAATTGTAACAACATTCCAGAACACTTTTGAGCTTCATGGAATCTTCATCTACTTTTTAATCCCATTGCAAAAATTAAACAGATAAACCAAGGCTATAGAATGCACCATTGCACCACTTTGAATATTTTAAGGTTTCCCCATTTTAAAAGTTCTTGGGGGGGGGGGAAGAAAAACAATGAATGAAAAAGATAAAATATTTTACTTTAATTCCCAGTTTCCTACCCAGAGCCCGTAGATAAATAAATCTAGTAAAAAAGGGGGCTTAGAGAAATGTTAAGTAGTTCACGTAATTAGGAATCTTAAGATTTTAGAGCAGAACACAAGGATCCCGGCATATTCTATATTTTTACCTTTTTATTTTCCTTGTCGGTGGTGGGGTTATTGTTTATTTTGTACTCCTGGAGATCAATTATATCTTTCATTTCATAATTATCACCTCTCCGTTTGCATACTATCATGGCCAAGTCAAATAAAAAGATATGCCTACGGGAGAAACGAAAGCGTAAGAAGTTGTAAAAATTCAAATTTGTAGCTAAAAATGTTATCTGAGAAATATTTGAGTAGAGTTTATTAAATTTTTAATAAACTTTACAACATCAAATCTGATTGTTAAGCTGAATTTTTCTCTCAAATTTAACACGCATTTTGAACTGCAATTTTAGATTTTTACTGCACAGTTCTATGCAGCATACTTATAAATTTCATTCTATTCTACAACACTTAAATCCCTAGCAAGAGATGGATAATTGGACTGGACATTATTTTCATTTAATTTCACTTTAATCAATTTGATTTAGATGCCGCACAACTCCAAACAACTCCTATAAGGTATAATAAAAAAGACAAAACACAACAATTGAAAACAAAGCCAACCCAACCAAATAAATAAAAAAAGCACATAAAGGTTGACTCAGCCTTCCATCCTTCCGAGGTCGGTAAAATGAGGACCCAGATTATTGGGGGGCGGTATGCTGATTCTGTAAAAACTGCTTAGAGAGGGCTGTAAAGCACTGTGAAGCAGTATATAAGTCTAAGTGCTATTGCTAGTGCTATAAATTGAAAGCACACCAACACTATCAGTTTACATTGGCTGGGCACATATCATGGGGAGCAGACAGTTCCCCAAATGACCAGGTTTTATGCCATGTAGGGTTTTATAAGTCACAACCTTGAATATGGAAGCAGAAGGGTAATCACTGCACCTCAGAGTAGATTCAGATCTCATGTTTATATAGTGAGTCCAAGCTGATTTTTCACGAGCCCTCCTCCCAAGCAGGATGATTCCTCTCCAACAAAAAGGTCTCCGGATTCAGGAGACAGCTCATTCCACTGCAACGAAGCTGTGGAAAGGCCTTCTTGGCCAAAGCTGCCATATGCTCATTGAGCAGGAGCTCTGACTCCCAGGAACACCCCCAGATTACTTTCCACCCTTCAGTGGGGAAGTGAAATCCCACCCAAGATCAACGTTGGAATGTTTGTAAAGTTCTAGTGGTCCCAACAACTACACCTATAACCACGCCTACACACTCACTAAGCAGTTTGATAGTCTTTGACAGTTTTAATATTTGAAATACCACCCATGCCACTGAAGCACCCCTCCCACCAGGCAGCAACCACCCCAAGTCCCATCACGTTCATGCCGTGCCTCTCTCCAGCCACCTCCATGCCCCCTCGCTCTCTATCATCCAGCTTGCAAGCTGCCTGGGATTTGCAACTTCTTGCCAGTTTCCCCACCACAGACTTTGGTTGCTGAAAGCCAGCAGATAGTTGCAAGGAAGTGCTCACTTAACAACCTACAATCATTGTTTAATGATGACAGTGGGAATTGCAGGGGTTGCTGATGCTAAACAAGATGTCGGGCTTTATGACTGCATTGCCCAGAGGTGGAAATTCCAGTTGCAACTGCCATCATAACTCAAGGACTACCCATATATAAGGTGAAAATATGTCTTTGCTTCCTTTTTTCTTGGTTTTTTTATCATTTTTATTTTTAAGGGTTGTTGAATTTAATTTTATTATCGTTATGTATCTCAATACTTTACTTATATTTTAAACTCCTTTTTAAAAAAAGCACTTAATCTTGAACGATCAATAGAAACTGATATACCATAGTATTGTCTTTATCATTACCCAATCTATCTACCAGTGCAAATTCCAAAATTATTTTTCTTAGCTGCAAAGAAATATATTGATAGGGCATTTACTTCCTTCTTATGGTGAGATCGTTGGCATTACACTTGTGCAACTAACAAATAGCAGGTATTGTACCATTTCAGAAGTATTGATCTAGGACAGGGATGCTCAAACTTGGCCACTTTAAGACTTGTGGACTTCAACTCCCAGAATTCCCCAATCCACAAGTCTTAAAGTGGCCAAGTTTGAGCACCCCTGATCTAGGATCATTGCAAAATAATACATTAAAAACAAACTGAAGCTTTTCTCACCTATCTTGTCTTGCTCGCTTGTCCAGGGTTGTTATCTTTATTTCACCATCACCCTGTGGTCTTCCATAGAGTAAAAGGGATTGATTCTGGGGGGGGAGAAAAATGTACATTAATTGCTTCAAAGATATCCAATAATTTATTGGAGGAAGATGCTGCATTCAACATTCTGAAAAAGTGGTTGGCTATAAGGCAGATGGCAGATAAAAATGCAAAATTGGCAGCACAGCATCTCTGACCTACTCTACAAGGGTTATGCAAAACATTTCAATCGCAAAGCATTTACTTCAAGTTGTTCCAGTTCAATATTAGTATAAACATTTTAGTTCTCCATCTGTTTAGAACATCGCAATCGGATCTTTGTGATGAGTATTGCAATTAGCTTTTTCTTAATTTTTCTAGCAGGGAAGGCAAATGATCCTGAATTTACTCCTATTGGCTTACACAATGTGGGATGACCTGGATGGGTGGCAATAGAATATTGGGAAACAGGCACATGATTCATAGATCCAAAATGCTGCTCTGTTGCTGAAGAAGACTATGACCAGGGAGTCTGCTGTAGCCAGTGCCTGTAACTCAGGGGTGTCAAACTCGTAATGTCACGTGACGTATCGTGACTTTTTTTCCATTGCCGGCAATGGGGTGGGTGCAGTTTTGCCATGATGCATCCGGCCCATGGGCCGGCAGTTTGATACCCCTGCTGTAACTCTAATGCTCTAATGCAGGCATGTCAAACTTGCGACATCATGTGACGTCATGCGACTTTTCCCCCATTGCTGGCAATGGGATGGGTGTGGTTTCTGGCTGGCAGGCCGGCAGTTTGATATGCCTGCTCTAATGCATCTTCCGCTGGAGATCAGAAAGTTGAGGAAAGCTGCAAGCTCTCCTATTTTAATAGGATTTTTCTTCTTGTTGTGTCTTGGTTTTAGCTCTTCAGCCTTAATCTGGAGCAATGGGCACTAGTTACAAGGGACAGAAAAGAAAAATTCCTCCTTCTTTGCCATTTCATTTCCCCTCATTTTATGTACTTATTTTAAAATATTTAGAGCCTGCACTCTCTCTGGCCTGTAAAAGCAACAGAACACAATAAAAATCAAGTAAAATAACAAATGGAATAAATATAGTTGCCCTGATAAAGAGGCACTTAAGGGCAAAAGACAGATTTTGGCTGTTGATGCTGAGACTGTCATGTAGTTATATAAAAAAAGGGCAAGTCTCCAAAAGCACCAGCTTTGCCTCCAGGAGGAGAACAATTAAAGCCAAGGGGACACAACAGAGAAGGCCTAGGCCAGGGGTGTTAAACTGCCGGCTCGCAGGCCGGTTTCATCATACTGAAGCCATGCCCACCCCATTGCCGGCAATGGCAAAACCAGCCCGATATGTTGCGCGGCGTTGCCTGATGTCACGAGTTTGACACCCCTGGCCTAGGCATATAATATCTTATTCAGCTATGGTACTCTGTACTTAATACATTTTAACATGTATTGTATCCTGAAAGAAACCCTCCCTCAACAATCATGCCTAGTATACAGAGCCAGTGACATTCTTCTAGAACTTGTTAGTTAACAAGCCAGGCTACTATTTTTGTGCATCAGCTACAACTTCTGAAAATATCTCCAAAGGCAGGGGTGTCAAACGCGCCAGGCCGGCTGGATGCGTCACGCATAGGCTATACCCACCCCAGCTCTGCAAAGGAAAAAAACGTCAGGATATGTTACAATATGTCACGTGGCACAATCGAGTTTGACATCCACGTCCTAGACTAGGGCAATATTTCTTAACCTTGGCAGGGTAAAAAATTCTCGGAGTTGAATAACTCTTCAAATTGCCAAGGTTGAGAAACACTGTTCTGGGGCTTGTGTAGGCCCTCTTGACTTAAGAATAGACCTAAGTCATAAGTCAATAGTCATAAGTCATAGATGCAACCTGATTGGAATTTGCGTAGGAAATCAGTTTGTATAACTTTCCTTCATTAACAAACATTGCTATTGCTCTTGAGGGTGAACATGTGAAAACTGCAAGTACAATGTTGGCTTGGATAGCTTTGTTGAGCTAGGTACTCTTAAGCATATTTCTATGCCTTGTTGATATTCCAGAAAGCCTTTTTTTTCCCCCCAAGACTGACATTACCCAAGCTTGCTTGCTCTCCCTTTCTTTCTTGTTTTAAAAAGGTCCTACTTGACTTTTCCTAACTCATCTCTGCCTGCCTGCATGCTTATTGGCCCGATCAGAGCTTTTCAGAATGCATTTAAATGCCATGAAGTCAGCTGAAGCAGTACTACATTCTTATAATTACCAGCAGGCTCTTGTAATATTCATGTAAGAGTTCTTAGAAGCAACAGGGGGCAACATTTAAAAATATTTTTACAAGTGATTTAAGAACAAAACAAGCCTGGTAGGAATGAGGACCCAGTCGGTAAATTAAATTGTCTCTGCAGCTTTTAGCTGGCTGACGTCTGATGACTACTAAAACCTGGCCAAGGAAAATTGAAGAGAAAGTTTATCTCATTCAGAGTAATGTGTTTGCTAAACATTCCCAAGAGTTTATTTGAAAAAATTGAAGAGACTACTGCTTTTTCTTCTGAGAACCCCAGACAGTTTTTCATGTAACTAATTCTATGATATATTAACTATCAACTATTAAGCAACAGATTCTCACCCTCAAAACCATGTTTTCCTTAAAAAAAAAAAGGCTTGGGTTTTTTTTTTTAATCCTATGACAGCATTTTAAAATATTGTCAAACTTTCTAAGGCAGGCATGTCAAACTGCCAGCCCGCGGGCCGGATGCATCATACTGAAACCGTGCCTAGCCCATTGCCGGCAATGGGAAAAAAGTCACGATACGTTGTGCGACATCACATGTCTGTTCTAAGGGATGTCTAGCAGCAGCTAGAATGGACAGTCATCCCATCTTTCTTTGCGGCTCCAGGGGATAAAATATAACAGCAAGGAGCCTGTTTCGCATTCCCAATGCTTCCCAATAGTCACAACCCTCAACCCATTTCAAGTTTTGTCTTGTCAAATGCAGCAGATCGAAAATGTTTCATGGCACTGTTTTATTCTGAGCTGGAAGCAAAATACATTTTCCATTACATGCACATTCTTACCTCTCTACCCCTTTACCCCCATCCCAAACAGAAATAGCATGTACGTGTACAAAGGGATTACATCCTCTATGCTCAGTTTCTCATCCCACCACTTCTGCCCAACATTGCCTCACTTTTCTTTTTGCCCAACATTCCCTCACATTTCTTCATGTAAGAAAAATTAGTAGTGTTGTCAGAGATCTAACTTCCTTCAGTTTGGGACAAAAAAAGAACTATAGGAAACAAGTCAATCTTTATCTTCCTGATGCTCTCCAAGGTTTTGTGCTACAGAACTCAAAAACCAACTGAAGAATAATCTGACCTTAGTTTTTATGTCAGAGACCAGTCTCTGCCTTAAGGAGCTGTGCCTTGAAGGAGTTCTATACTATATGGCTTAGTAACTGCCATAAAAATGCTGTTGTTTGAAATAAAGATTAAATATTATAGTGATTGATACTAATAAATAAAGCAGAGCAAAATAAATAAGGTCAGGTTTGTAGGATAAGACCAGACTTTATATATGCCAGTTCAGTCAGCAGCAGAGATAGAAGCAAATAGTCTCAACATAGGTTTCAACTGCTATGATTTTCTTAATCTTTTCATCGAACCATTCTACAAAACATTCTTTCAAGATGAATTCTGGACAATAGTCAGACAAACATACTAGGCCTTGGTTTGTGAATTAAATGAGAATTGGAGAGTTCTAAATCATACTAAGCCAAAACCAAGAACATCACATGAACGCACACCCTGACATTTGCAAATTCAAACGCTCCTCTAATATTTTAAATCCATTACAGATTCTTTTCTTTTCTTTTTCGAGTCAAAGCTTTGTGCCTCAGTCTTCCTGTTTCTATTCTATTTCTCTTGATTAGCCCTCTTCTGATTCTCAATAACCCAGTTTTCTGGAATCTGTGTTCAAACCTTTTTCGGAATATATAGATTTAGTCTCTTACCTGCAGTTGACTCTACCTTTGGACAAGCTTGCCTGTGCTCCACCCTGACTTTAATCTTAACCCTGCCATAATTTTCACTTTCAGCTTTCCTGCTTATAAATCTATCAGTAACAAGTATACAAAAGGGGGGGAATCCCTAAAAAATAAAAAAAGCAGCATCTTATAAAATCCTACCAAATTTTCTATTGATGATTGAAATTGCTTAATTTCACGGAGGGTTTCATTATCTCGCTTCACTTCATTTACATATTGTGCCAAGTCCTAAAACCACAGAAAAGAAAAACAAATTTGGTATGTAACAATGATTGATTAAATATTTACAATTGATTCAGGGCTGAAAGCCACTCATGTCCAATTTTTTTTTAAAAAAGGCATTTATTTTTATATGAATATTTTCCTATTATACAAATTTTTGCATAGAGTACAGTATATGAGCCAAATACAACATTACATTTTTAAAAAAGCAATCAAAAGATAATCAAGGAGAGAAGCAACCTAAAACTAAGGAGAAACTTCCTGACAGTTAGAACAATTAACCAGTGGAACAACCTGCCTCCAGAAGTGGTGAATGCTCCAAGACTGGAAGTTTTTAAGAAGAGACTGGACAGCCATTTGTCTGAAATGGTATAGGGTTTCCTGCCTGAGCAGGGGGTTGGACTAGATGACCTCCAAGGTCCCTTCCAACTTTATTATTATTATTATAAATGTATTCTAATTTTCAGTTTAATTTAGGGAGTGTGACTTAGGTCAGATTGCTGGACTAATTCTTCCCTGTCCCTCTACTGTAATTGAAGCAACTATTCATTAAATGACAGCATGGGCATATTGGAAAAACTATGCTATGCATAGTAATCTTCATATCCTTGGGAAGGAGAAACGGGGTCATACCTGCTGGCCCAATTCCTGAAATCTTTTAAAGCCATTGTAAAAGATTCAGTTTCTGTTCAATGTTCACAAAGCCTATGCTCATTTTGCACTGAAAAGATTACCTGATAACATGAAACAGACTGTGTAGTGTACCAAAGTATGTCCGTATGCCTGTGATGTACAGCAAAGTTGTAGAACCTTTTCTATTTGAAAGCCAGAGTGAAAATAGCTTAACAAATAATCAAATAATAAATTAAACATGGATCCTTGATTTGTGAAAGGAGCTTGTTTGCTTTCATTTATAAGCATGTTACACCAGTGTGCAGCAAGATAGGATCCAAGTTTCAAAATATTTAATTTTCAATTTATTTCTAGAAAAGACTCTTTTCATTTTATATTAGAGAGGATGTACTCAATCATACTTACCTTCATGGCATCAAGGGCCAACTTTAGATTTGCCTTCTCAATTATGTCATTAGTGTGCTTTACCAGCTCCTATATCACAGAATGCCATAGTTATTATCAACCAATTATAATGGAAAGAAAGTCAGAAAATTATGGATATGCTATAATCAATGTAGCTCAATCTGAAGCAGTTATTATATTGCCTTTATTCAAAGTTATTCCAAAGTAGTTTTTTTTTTCCTCAGCTCACCAATAAATCTAGAGATTTTTAAACAGACTTTCAGCCAATGTTATATTTCCGGATTTATGTTTCGGTTTCAGCTTTTCTGTGTCAGCATAGCAATTATTTCGATACATTGGTTAAATTTCTGGAAATGTGTCCATGACCCCAGATTAATGTGATCAAACTGCTTCTAATTCATCTTTTATTTAGATGCATATATCCTATTCTCTGTAAAATACATAATCTAAATGCCCAACCCCAATTAAAAAAAATGTAGAAGTTTTATATTTGTACTAACACTAATCCACACTTAAAGCTCAATAAAGATATGTGGATTGTGACTAGTAAATGAATATGAAATATCTGATAATACTATAAGCTTCCAATGATGTACTGGGATATATTAGTCATATTAACGCTCAAATTTATTGTTTATCTGCTCGTGTTTCAGTATCTGCACTTTATTTTCTTCTTTGTGTTACTTATTCTATATATTCTTTCACAATGTGTAAGAAAAAAAAGTAGTAACATTTCTGAAAATTTTACCAACTGGGAAAAATCAGCAGCATGATACTGATTTTTATTCAAATGAGCATTTTAAAATAAACGTTTTGCTCCATTATCTTTGTTAAAATCATACCAGAACTTTCTGCAAAGAGTAATGTGTCAATTACAAATGCAGTTAAAATGCATACAATACATGGGACATTGACATACTGCATGTAACATGGCACTACAGAAACAAAATACTGCTTCTTGCATAGACAGAAGCTCTTTTTAAAATGTCACTTTATAAGTAGGAGCAATGCAGACAATCTAATGCAATAGTATAGTTCTCTGCGGCTGTACTAATGAGTCCCCCAGCAAAGCTATCAAATGATATTTAGAAGATTCTCTAGTTCCATTATAGTACTAACTGCACAGGAGCTGTGCACTCTGGGAGTTGTAATGAGCAACGTTCTCAGTACAAATGGCATTGTTATAATCCAGCACAGAACAGAAGTATAATCCTTGAGTATGTACAGTAAAAAAAAAAACACATTTTACCTATTATCTAAGATTAGTATATGGTATTGATTTATACTATTAAAAAAAAGACAGGAAGCTATTGTGAAATCAACTGAATTCCAATAGTATTGGGCTGGGTGGAGAATCTTTCTAGACAAATGATCTTTCTCTTTCTGTATAGTGTGTAGGCCCTCATATTTAGTGTACTATGAGAATCAACAATCTTTCTTAAACTGATTTAAAAATTATACTCTTCTTAGCAGATCCCTAGGGCAACCTTTGCATTACCTACAGGTGGACAAGTGGACCATTTAATACAACTCTCCACACGGGTCAGAGCCATTGTGTGTTTATTATACTGATATATATCCTGGCTGACAAAAACAACATTGTGTGATAAATTATACTGATATATATCCTGGCTGACAAAAACAACAACAATATAATAGTAATGACCTGCTCACTGCATTGTATTATATCAGGCTTCTTCAACCTTATAGATGTTGCATTACAATTCCCACCTGGAATGTACCAGAGTGGGTAAGACCATACCAAACAATACAAGGACTGAGACTAGACAGTAGCAAACTAGCACCAATTCTGAGTGGTAGCTTTGCTTTAAGTGGGATAACTGTTGTGTGGTGAGAATCATGAGTTCCTTTCCAAAGAAGGTGAGTGCTATGCTTCTAAAATAACACCGTCCCCCCAAAAAAAGTAGCTTAAAATTGACAGGATGTTTTAAAATAAAGGACCCAAAGACTAGGTTAGGGATAGATGCTTGTGAAGAAAATCTATCTCTGTGATTGCTAAGAGTTGACACCAACTTGATGGCATATAATCAATAATCAATCAGTCTGACACTCTTACAGCTGACCTTCTTAAATGTGTACTCTCAGTAGTCCAAATTACAGTACAAACAGCAAGTGGTCTAAATAGTTGCACAGAGATAGAACTAGCAAGATACAATCTCAATCATCAGAAAAATTAAATACCTGAAGTAGCAAATGATATTTCAGAACCCGTTGCATTGGAACCACAAGGAGATCCCGCAGAGTAAATTTCCCATTATTAGCTCTTTTGGAACATTCCTAATTAAAGAATAACCAATAATTGAATAAATAAAATGTCTCAGGGTAATTCTGGAACATAATCAAAATGGCAATGTTATTTTTCATAAGATAGGAGACACGTGTCTCAAACTGCACCAACTATTCAATTATATTGAATTTTTATTCAGTTTGAATACTGGGGTCTTCAGATTAAGTCTTCTTCCTCACCCAGCCCATGTTTTGTAATTCAAAGATCAAGCACAGTTCAAAAAAGACTGAGGAGGTCTGGCTTAGAAGAAATCATTTGAGTTATGATCTGGTCAGGATTACCAGAAACAAGTGTGGATGATTAAAATTTTAATTTCAGTCTCTCCCCTTCAAATCATCAAGAGTCCTTTTCTGTTGGGGTAGGACAGGGGTAGGCAACCTTAGCTCTTTTATGACTCGTGAACTTCAACACCCAGAATTCCTAAGCCAGCCATGTTGGCTCAGGAATTCTGGGAGTTGAAGTCCACAAGTCATAAAAGAGCCAAGGTTGCCTACCCCTGGGGTAGGATATAAACGGATGACACCCAAAAAAGTAAGTGGAGCCAGAACAGAATAGTAAATTGAGCCAGGATAAAGTTAATTTAAGGTCCATATAAATATAATTAAATTTAAACTTAATTAAATAGTCAACATGATTACTCCCCATGTATTTAATAAGTTTCCTCTACTAAGATATTAAGAATTGCAGTTCAGCAACAATGTTCAGAAGCTCAATGTTCTGGAGGGCTCCTGTAGCCCTGGGTGGGCACCCTTAGTAATTAAAGCTTGCAAGGAGAGCTCTACCATTTATTGCTGTAAATAAATTCACAGGCAATTTTAACTCTTGGTCTGCACATTTAGGAGAATGAGGTGACATTGCAAGTGTAATGTAAAAGAATATACTTCTTCAGTACAGAATTGTGGGTTATTTTCCCTCAAATCTGCCTTGCAAAATGCTCTTTCCTATGACAAAGAATGAACTGCACTCAGCCCTTCAGCCCAATCCTCTTCAGCAGTGACACGTTATCTATGGAGGGAGGGGATTCAGACTCTATTTGCATTTGGAAATGGTTCCATCCATTTCACCATCCCAGCTTTAACCATCTCACCATGTCTACCACCCTAGTCTGCAAAACATTTACACCAAACATAATCTCCAGTTTCGTTGTAGAAATAAAATTAGCATTCATAAATTGGAATGCCTATAAATTATGCAATATATAAAATGGACAAATAATAGATCCCACCTCTCTCCCCTGCATATCCTGCTCCCTCCCCTTCCATCTTTTAATCATAATTTTGTATTCTTATTGTTGACAGAAATATATAGAGATATAGATAGATATAGACATTGATATAGACACATGGTTTTAAAGCTGTTAATGTTGTAAACTGCCCAAGGTTGCCTCATGGCAAGATAAATAGCTAGACAGACAGACAGACAGACCACGGGTTGTGTCACGTGACGCATTGTGAATATCGTAATGTTTTTTGCCTTTGCAGAGCCAGGATGGGTATTGCCTGCGCCTCACACATCCGGCCTGCAGGCCGCCATTTTGACACCCCAAGCTAGACAGACAGACAGACAGATAGATAGATAAAGGTAGTTCTCAATCTACAACCACAACTGAGCCCACAATTTCGGTTGTTAAATGAGATATTTGAGTTTTGCTCCATTTTACGACCATTCTTGCTACAGTTATTAAGTGAATCGTCACAGTTGGTAAGTTAGGAACCTGATTGTTAAGTGAATCCAGCTTCCCTACTGACTTTGCTTGTCAAAAAGGTTGCAGAAAGTGATCACGAGCCCTTGAGACACAGCAACGGCTGTAAGTATGAACCAGTGGCCAAGCATCTGAATTTTGGTCACATGACCATAGGGACGCCACAAAGTTTGTAACTGTGAAAAGTGGTCATAAATCACTGTACCGCTGTAACTTTGAACGGTCACTAAATGAACAGTTTTAAGTCAAGAACTACCTGTAGATAGATAGATACAGTAATAGAGTTTGATTGTAAGATTTGAATCTAAATGTGTTTCATTTATAAATAAAACAATAAAATGTCCCAGACACCTCCAATTTCAGCTTAACATCTTCTTTTGTCTTGGAGATATTATCCAAGCAGGAAATAGCCATCTCTACTTGACTGCAATACTGCCCATAAATCACCAATCTAGAACAATACAGGAAAATGAAAGAGTTAAATCAATTCATTTATATTTTATTAATGTTATATTTAGCTAGTTTATTTTAACTTTACCCCTAACTACTGTTTATAAATAGTCCTTGACTTACAACCACAGATGGGACCAGAATTTCCATTGCTAAGCAAGGTGGCTGTTAAATGAGTCATGGCCAATTTTACAAACTTTTGGCCGTGGTGGTTAAGCACTGCATCTCTGTGACTCATGTCATTAAGAGAATCTGGCTTCTTCCCCCACTGACTTTACTTGTTACCAGTCAGGTGGTGACCACGTGACCTTGGGATGCTGCAACCATAGCAGATACATGCTGGTTGTCAAGCACCTGAGTTTTGATCACATGACTGTAGGGAATGTTGTCATAAGTGCAAGGACCAGTCATAAGTCACTTTTTTATTGCTGCTGTAACTGTGAATGTTTTTTTTTTAAATAAACGGTTGTTAGCAGAGGCTACTTGTAGAATCTTAAGTTCATGTGGCTCCATCTCGGCAACTATTATAATCAAAATGCTATTTAAAAATCTCAGTCTGAAAAGTAAATGCTATGACTTTAATCGGGCTAGAAATAGAACTATAAATCTTTTTACAGAATAATTTTAGTATTTATTATTAAGGAGTTCTTCAACTTACGACCACCATTGAGCTCAGAATTATGGTCCTAGGTTGTAGCCGTCCTTAAACAAGGGGGCCCACCTGATCACCTTGCTTAACGACCACAATCCCTGCTCTCCCAGTTGTGGTCATAAGCAATCATATGGATTGCTAAGCAGAGCATGAGTTGCCTCAGAGGGTGGGACAGGCCTTAAGAGGTCTGGTGCACAGTAGGCCCAGGCCTGCACTGCACCTCCCTTTGGCCCAGGCTTTGGCCAAGGCAGGTGGATGGAGGCTGCTGTAGTGTTCTTTGATCAGTTGTAAGGGCAGGCAAATTGCCAAACATCTGATAATCACATGACAACAGAGGTTCTGCAGTGGCTGTAACTTTGGGTACAAGTCATAAGTTTCCTTTGTTCAGTGCTGTCATAATTTCAAACAGTTGAATAAACAGTCGTAAATCAAGGACTACTTGTAATACAATCCGCAGAAAGCTCAATGCAGAAGGCAAGGAATCACATGATTGCAATTAGTGATTGCATCAATTGTGTCCTGGCTATAGAAAGTATTAAATTTTCCCATATATTCCCCACCCTGGAGTAATAACATGAAGGAATGGATATGATGAAGTTTCTGTAGCCAATCCCAACCATAACTCTCTTCCTGTATTTTTAGAAATCAGAAAATGTGATATATATCAAATAAGGTTAATATCCAAGAAAACCATAACAAAATATACAAAAGGAAAAAGGGATGGATATAGCATATTCTACAGAATAACTTTCCATGAGTTTTTAATGCACTGAAATCATGTATTACAGATTAATACTAAATATGAAAAACATTCATATTTGAACATTTAAATGTTTACTTAAATTACATTAGATACAATTAGGATAAATTAATACCAACAGCCAGGTTCACATTTTGACAATATACACTATAGATATAGATATACATATAAACAACTATTACCTTTCCTTGTAGCTAATAAAAATTTTATACAAATTCTGGTCACTTTTGCTTACAATGGATTCATGAATATCCTGTGTTAAAGTTCTGTGGATCTTCACCAAATCCTGAAACAAAAATATAACCTATAAATCTTTTATAAGAATCTTCAGTGCTATCATATCAGCTTCCATTGTAAAGTTATTATTTTCATACAATGAAATACAGTAGTTAGACTATTTCATACTGGAATCTAGAAAGGTATTATCATTCTCAGTCTCTTTCTTCCCAGATCCCTGGTTGCATAAGAATTTACTTGATCAAAATAAACTCAGAAAATATCTTAATTCCATTTTAGATTCCTGATTGCAATCAGGTCTAATGTCTAAACACAGGGACCTGGAGGCAATTTAGTTTACTTATATAAATTTAGTACTAATGTCTTGCTCCTCAAAAGTTAAATAAACTGTAAATTTCTTACAATTAACTAAAGTTCTAATCCACACAACTGAGTCATAAATTCAAATGTTTGTTTGTTCCTGTTTTTCCACTTCAAACAAAATAGATATACCTATGGCCAGAACTTTCTTTTTCTACTGACACTGAAAAATTGCCTGCAAGGACAGAGGTGAATGTGTAAATGCTCAATGCAACACCTATCAAAAGCCTCCTGAGGAAAGTTGTTCAATTTTCCTGGCAGGAGACACAATTTTGAGACAAAACCCTTCGTCAACAGACAAGGAATTTACTGATTGCTGACTAGCAGCTTCTAATACAGAGAAGAGAGAAGCATCTACTATTTCCCATGCCATGATCACCCTAACTGACCATAACGCTTTCTCGGTGGTGTTTTTTGAAGATCTGACTTTGTTTTTATTTTTTAAAGCAGGATAAACTACTCAAGCAGTATATGAGAGGAGAAATTCTAAACACAATGGTGAAGAGAATGATAGAACAATGAATCCCTTATGCCCTTTGCATAAACTCTACATAAAAAGAAAAAAAAAGTTGGCTGAATTTTTTTAAGTACAATTAATTAACTAATCCATTCAAGTCCATCAGACAGTTAATCTAGACAATTAGAAAAAGTTATGAATTTGCTTAGTTATTTAACATATTGTATATTTTCATGGCTCTCATCTTCTATCTTTAAAAAATGAAACTCACCCACAGATTAGGGGGAAAGATACCATCCCTCTTCTACCCCACCAAGTGTTTTGAGATGACATTTTAAAGTCACATTCTAGGTCAGTGGTTCTCAACCTTTTTAATGCCGCGACCCCCCAAACAGTTGTAAGTCGAGGACTACTCAACCGGTCGTAAGTCGAGGACTACTCAACTGGTGCAGCACTGTTTGCAGAATGGGACTTTTGGCGGGTTCAGCAGGGCAGAGACAGCCTGGACAATTCCTATTGGCTTTTGAAAGCCAATAGAATTAGACTCTATTCAAGAGAGTGTATTCTATTGGCTTTCAAAAGCCAATAGAATAAAAGGGAATAGCACAGCTAAGGAAAAGGGGAAAAAAATGGCGGACTGCGTTGTTTGGCGACCCCCGTGAAATGGTTGTTCGACCCCATATGGGGTCCCGACCCACAGGTTGAGAACCACTGTTCTAGGCCTAGTAGACAAATAAACAAGTCAATAAACCATACGCTAGCCTTGTCCTTAATTCTGTCTCTTTAGTTTGGGTGACTAAATGGCAAGGATAAGGTTAAGCCAATAGTGGCTCACCAATGGAGTCTCCCCAAACCTACATTTTCCTGGCCAGTGACAACAAAGGACCCTAGGTTGAATGGCTTTTTCTGGGGAAAAGAAAGCTTAACACTTTTGTTGCTGTTATCCCTTTGAAGTCTTGTATGAAATGAAAAATGTGTTCATTTCTTCCCAACTTCCCTGCAGGAAGTCTTAATCTTCTCTTCCTCCTTAAGGAAGTGGGCTAGACAAAGTAGTAACAGCAGTAAGAAAGTGGGTATGTAAGGAGGGAGGAGTAAGACCAGTAGCTAAGCTATAATTTCCATTCGCTAAGCTCATCTATCAATTCAACTGTTAAGTCTCAAAGGATCCTTTCTGTACGTCCTATTTGTCTCCATTCTACCTAATTTCTCCAGAAATGCCTTGTAGGCAGCCTTCACATGAATATCATAAGCTCTGGAAATATTACATACGGGAATGTTGATGAATACTGTTTCAAATTCTGATGGGGTCAGAAATCTTTTCAATGGCACCATAAAAAACTGTAAAGAGAAAAACACAGAGAAGTAATATTATACATTTTGCCCAATGGAACTTCCTTTTAGGATGTTTGATGTCCACTCTTGTTTTAAATATATGCGTCTTAGAACACCTTATCATTTGATCAAGTTCCCAGCCTTGCATATTAAGTGTTAAATGGTTTTTTTTAATATTTTTTTTTATTTTCTATTTATTCAACATATACAACAAAATTCACTTTACAAAATAACCATAACCATAACCATAGTGCCGTTTGCTCCTTCCCCCCACGCTGCATCCACCCTCTCTAATACCTTCCCTACTTCCCTCCTCTTTACCAAAGCATTTACCAAACTTCTGATACATAAAGATGATATTTTCCTCTGATTAATTCCAACGAACAAAAGGTATAGCACTGTATCTTTACAGTAAAGCTAAATGATCAAATTCCCCCAAACGTTAGCAGTAATAAACTAATTAAAACCAGATTTTATAATGGATATTTAAGGAGGTTATAAGTTATTTCTCCATTGGGTCATTGCATGTGTATCTAGTATAGCAATAAAAAGAAATATTTGAAGCAAAGATCATTTTGGTAGCAAACTCTTGTAATTTTTTGAAAAGTGCTTTATTGTCTTTGCCTTGGTTTTTTTCCTGAAAGAAAATATCACTGTGCATTAAAATTCCCTTTTATCTCCATCAGGGTTTCTCAACCTCAAAACTTTGAAAAATTCTTGGAGATGAAGTCCACATAATTTAAAGTTCCTGAGGTTGAGAAACACTGATCTAAATCATTTAATAACTTGCAACATATTCCACAACAGAATATTCCTGGGGGGGAAAAATAGAATCAGTACTAGAATTTCCATTGAGAGATTATAAGGAGGTCAGGGAGAAGGTGGATTTTTCAATCTTACATTTAATTATTTCTCAAGCCATACAGTTTTGAAACTGCTTATTGAGTAGATATATATAACTTTTAAAAAAGAAAAGAAAAATGAGTTTGCCATGCAGTGAAATATACTGTGATATAAAATAAGCGTATAACAGCAACATACTCTTAAGATGAAAAACTGATTATTTAATATTTAATGTATCCAGCAGTAAAGTTTAGAAAGTTGCAGTATATTAGGGATTTCAAAATGCTTCAGCACCAAAACAGTTTATTCAATTATCTGCCAAGTTTAACAAACATTTGCATATGTGGTTTGATCCTTCCAAACCACATATGTTTTCACCGAAAGCAGAAAATAATTGGCTGAAAAATTGTTTAAAAAAACTTTTTTAAAAAAATTAACAGACAGGATATACTCACTGACAGAAATGCTACAGAGATTATCAGCTATGTTCTGTAACAAACTCTTGATCCAGAGATGTACTTAAACAGAAAAAAACATCTATCTGTACTCTCTGTTGAGAAGTGGATAGTTGTTGGGTTTTTTGACAAATTATAGATATTTCAATGGAAGACAATAGAACAGTGGTGGTGAACCTATGGCATGCATGCCAGAGGCGGCACTCAGAGCCCTCTCTGTGGGCACATGTGCCGTCACTCCAGCCTCGCCTCCCACCATGGCCCCCTCCTCACCAGCAACCGCCCCGGAGGAGATTCACCCCCAAGCGTGACCCATGCAGAGTAGTGCAGCCAAGGACATGGCAGCCAGGACACGACTCCACTCTCGCGCCCTGTCACATGCAGTTGATGCTGCGGGATGGGGACAGAGGGCGTGGCTGCTATGGCACTGCTGGGCCACCTGGGCGATTTGCGGCAGGCCATGGAGGCAGTGGCTGGCCCTGCGGGTGGGCGAGGGGCAGGTGGAGTGGGGCCAGAGTGGGCGGGGTAGGGGCAGAGCAGGCAGGGTGGTTTTGGGGCACTCTGTCTCTAAAAGGTTTGCCATCACTACAATAGAATATATTGCCATTGTTTCCCATAACTAATTTAAGTAAATAAATAAATAACATACACCATACATATAGTATATAGCCAATTTGATCTATTTAAGGCACCATGCTAGAAACAGGGAGAGGATGAGTTATAGTTCTGTCTTAGGTATGCAAGCTGACTGGATGACTTTGGGCCAATCACTCTCTCTCAGTCCAGCCCACCTCACATGATTGTTGTTGTGGGGAAAATAGGAGGAGGAAGGAGCATTGTATGTATTCACCACCTTGAATTATTTATAAAAATAATAAAGACAGGATTTTTTTAAAAATCCAGATGAATCTAATACTTTCTTACTTTAAAATCACTGAAGATCTTGGATTATGGCAGGTAATGAATATAAATAAATTTACCAAATTTTATGCACTGCTTATCTTTGTGGCCCAGTGGTGGAAAAAAAAAGGGGGGGGGAGGTTGCTAACTGGTCTCAAGTTCCCTCTGAGATCAACAGTGCTGTCTTTTGAACACAGCAAACTCAGAACTCTTTGAAGAAACATTCTGGATGAAGCTGTTTTATTTCAAGGTCAAAACCAAACATGTTTTCTATTTTGTGCACACCTCCATTATGTATACATCCCTGCCCGAAACTTCTCTGCTCTCCGAGCTCCCCTGGCAATAAGTGGGAAATGAGTTCCTGATTGTTTTAGCACATCACTTTACCTTTTCGATTGATTCCAGTGTTTCGGTGTATTTCTCTTCAGTCTGTTTTATTTCCGAAAGACAGCAGGTTCTTATGTCATTCTCAGGACATTTCTGCCAAGTCAATAAGAGTTTACTTGAATATGAGCGCACTTCTGGGTATTTTTCAGGCGGACCATATTTCTCTACCAACTGTCAGTGATAGTCAGCATCCTAATCTATCTTGTTGTAGACCTGAATTCAGCAACATGCTGTCTACAGGAACATCTGTCTTGCCCTACACCTTGCCAATTTAAAGAACAATCGAAGCAGAATCTCTCTCAGGATTTCTGGAAATACAGTAAATGAGAAATGTGCTTCTCCCACTGTATCCCGTGTGGACCCTTTGAGATTATGAGAAAAGGCTGTGGCAGCGGATCTAAACCCCGTCTTCACAGGTCAGGATATCAATCAATTAAAGAAATGGTAGAAGGAAGAGAAAAAGAGACCACTGCGGGAAATTGGGGGGGAAATGTTGAGGGAAGCCATGAGAAGGGGCAGAGCCAATGCAGGCAAAAGAACCAATGAAGTTTTATTCTCTGTGTTTCATGTTTTAAAACTTCTTAAATGAGAACAGGACATTTCAAAACACTGTTATACTGGTATGTTCGTTATCAGGCAAGTTAGGTATTTCAAACACTCACTTAATTGAGCAAGTAAGGAAGCAGAATGAGGATAGGCCAAAATATTTCTGTGAAAAGAAAAAAATTACCAGGGAGATGATACTTCCAGTAAGTGGAAGCTTATTAGGAAGGAAATTGGAGCCAAGTTGCTAAGGGCTTCAATATGATTAATTGGCTCTTAATACTCCATTGGAAATCCATGGGACTGAAATGTGTTTAATTTTGGATTATGGTCTAAATATATTATTTCTTTTGTGCCCAGCTGAATCTTTTCACATCTTACAAGTTGATGTGCTGCTTCCGCTTTCATTAGGTCTTCATATACTTCATCACCTTCATCTTCTCCATAAACACAATCATAAAGATCTTCATCTTCGTTCACTCTCGTTTCACTAGAATACAATGGGAAAGGAGAAAATTAAGAAGGCATAATACCGTCGGACTTATTTTAAAAATCTAGAAGAGTATCACAAAATAATGCATATCTTCCCTCTAGTCTCCTCTCCATTTTAGGGCACTGTCAGAAGGCAGACTGGAAACATCTGGCTTGGCTTTAGGTTGCTGAGATCACCTGAACACTAAACTATGGTAAAGCTTAACAGTGGTTAGTGAATACAAGAAACCTATGGAATCATAATTACTATCAATACATTGTCCCTAGGTTCAAAAAGAACAACAAGCTAGGCTAGAACTGTAATTTCTTCTCTCATCAGTACCACAAATGTAGGAGAGATAACTTATGCTCAGTAAAAGGCTATATTATACTCATTTTTGTAACAATAAATCAGGATGGGGGAACTCTTCGCCAATCAGGAGAAAAAACATTTTTTATTGGGGACCTGGGAGTTGATATATTATATTTTATATATATTGTGGGTTACTAAGCAATTGCCCTGTTTGACTGCAGGGAAGTCACAAATGCTCATCACATGATATAGCAGGATGCTCCAACTGTTGTAAATATGAGCTAGTTGCTAAGTGCCTGAGTTGCAATCCTATGACCTCAGAGGTGGTACGATGGCTGGAACTTCAAGGATCAGTCCTAAGTGTCACTTGTTCAGCAACATCACAACTTCAAATGGTCACTGAACAAACAGTCATTAAATTGATTACCCAATTTATGACAGTGGCACTAATTCATGAGGCTCTGGATGTCATAAAAATTGAAATTAGAATTTGGAAGTAGAATACCTTGTACCTCTATTCCATGGTTTGGCTTATTATTGTTGTTGTTGTTATAATATACACATATATATACATACATACATATATATAAATTTAAAAACTAAAATTACTCTATACAAATACATACATATACATACATATATATATATATATATATATATATATATATATATATATATATACACAGACATATATAAAAACTAAAATTACTTTATCTTACTCCTTTCCTAACCTAACCACCAGCAAAATATGAAGTAAAAAGATTAAATAGGTTAAAAGAAGCATGAAGGAAAAAGTCAAAACATAGGCAGCTTTGCTCGGTCTTCATTTCAACTCATTTTAAGTATGTTATTCTGTTATTTAGAAATAAGCAAAGACAATGCACTGTATTTGAAGAATTAATGTGCTAAAATAAATATTTTTCTTTCTTTTCTGCAAGAGCTGCATAATCTGAATTCAAATACAGGTAAATATGCAGGAACTGGAACAATTTTGTTATCCTGAGGAAATTTGAAACTGATGACATCAAAAGAGGTACAGATATTTTTTTGGGGGTTCTTTGTGAGTTGGAAGGTATGATGAAGGCATAAGCTTAACAGAGGTTTAACACACTTATTTTTGTCCTTTTTTAAAAAACAGGATAGATGCCATGATCCCTATTAATTATCTTATAAGGCTGCTAGAGACCTCTTGAATGGCAAATTTGAAGTCTTCATCAGGTGAGTTTGTCTTCAACTAAAAATTAATTACAAGCTTAATAACTTAAAAGAATTTAAAGTAAACAGCAAAAAGCTGATTGAAATATTGTTCTCCACATGATCAGCATAATGTCAACACCCTACAAATTAGAACCCACAATTAATACACAATATGACCTACTCTATTAAATCTGGAAGGCCTTTGTATATGTCTTCATCATTAACACTCTCTTCTGTAGGAAAGGGCCTATGGAAACAAAACAAAAAAACAAAGAAACAAAGGTTATTAATTATCATAAAGAACAATCTGATTCAATCATATTATTGTTCTTTTCTCTTTTTTTTTTTTTTTTTTTTTTTTTTTTTTTTTGCTGCTTTTGTGAGCCAGCCAGAGTTACCATAGATAAGATAGGTGACCATATAAGTCCTTTGCTTGAATAAATAAATAGATGATCATATAAATGGCTTTACTGGCATGTCTGAGCAAGTATTGCATTTTTCATTTCATCTGGATACTGTATATTAACGTAACTAATTTCAATCAGATCATTCAATTGTAAAACGTAACTTTTTAAAAAGTGGAAATACTTTGAAACAAAAATGATTTGCAGTTCATTTTCTAAGCAAATATTTGCATTATAAACAAAAATCAAAGTTTTTTTTTTAAAAATCCTAACTATATTGTACCTTATTCCAGTGCTTAAAGCAGTAGGGGTGCGAGAAAGTTTGGATAAAGTTTCAATAACCTGCAAAGGGGATGGAAAATATTGATTTAGTTACAAGAAAAAAAAATTTCAAGCACCATTTAAACAGCATCCATTAGCTAAGATACAAAGAAAAGGCATGTGCCATTTCTACTTAATACATTTTTAGATGTAATACTGATTTTGAATGAACCTGGTACAAACATGCATAAAATGAAATTGTACTATACTTTGACTATTGTTAAAATAAGACTGTAATATGATCACTTTTTATATATGAATAAAATGAATTACTTTAATTAATATTTGATAATTTATCATCATTTAATCTTAAATTTGATAATTAAATTAACTTTGCAATTTAGTTAATATTGGATCAGTTGATAATAATAATAATAAAGTAAAATAGTTTACTTTCTTTTTTTTTATTAAAAGTTTTACAAATTACAATATAAACCCACCCATCCCCTCCCCCCCCCACTTCCCAGAGCTGATTACAAGGTAACAAATAAACAAACATAATCTAGCTAACATAAACCAACTAAACTATCAATCAAAACCATAATACACTTTAACTCCTTCTCAAAACAAATATTAACAAATTAAGACAAAAATAATACAATTAATACTGTTAATAATTATCTATCTATTCAAAAGCAAGGTAATACTTTTCAGTTTCATACTTCTTCTGAATATAATCAATCCATCTTCTCCAAACCATAATATATCTTTCTTGTGAATGATCCTTCAAATAGGCGGAGATTTTCGCCATTTCTGCTAAATTAGACACTTTAAGTATCCATTCTTCCAAAGTAGGCAATAAGTTTTTCTTCCAATATTGCCCCACCAATAATCTTGCAGCAGTTATAAGGTTCAACATCAAACTAGTTTCTTTAACATCCAAATCTACAATAATATCCAACAAAAATAATTGCGGAGTAAACTTTATCTTTTTCTTAAAAATCTTTTGAATATTCCACCAAATCTTAATCCAAAAAGCTTTAATATCTTTACAAGTCCACCAAATACGAAAATAAGTTGCATCTAAATTTTCACATCTCCAACATTTGGGCTGTAAATTCGGATACATGCGGGACAACTTTTGGGGATCCAAATGCCATCTATAAAACATTTTATAAAAATTTTCTCTTAAATTTTGTGCTTGAGTAAATTTTACATTTCTAACCGAGATTGTCTCCCATGTATCCAATAAAATTGGCTCTTGGATATTTTGCGCCCATTTGATCATACAATCTTTAACTAACTCCGTTTCCGAGTCCAATTCTATTAAAGCATTATAAATTCTTTTTATATGAAATCGACTTTGATCTTTAATCTGTTTTACCAAATTCACATCCCCTAAAGTAATACCAACCTTTTTATCTATATTCCACCTCAATAACAATTGATTGTAATAAAACCAAGAATATACAATATTTTCTTGCTTCAACTCAGTTAAAGGCTTTAGTTGTCAATGCTGCCCAACCAAACTAAGTAATTCCTTATAAGAAATCTTATCCAAATTTACTCCCCTAGATACTCCCTCTATCACGTGTCCTGGAACCCCCCAAATTGGAATTTTATAATTTAACCTATAACAATACTTTTTGCAGACATGCAACAAGGCACTTCTCAAAATATGGGTTTTAAAAACCTGATACACTTTTATATCATAAATTAAATATGCGTGCCATCCATATAATAAATCCCATCCCTCAAGAGAAAGGATATTCTTATTTGTTAAGTTGAGCCAATCACTAATCAAGGTTAAAGCCACCGCTTCATAATACAATTTTAAATTCGGTGCCTTTAATCCTCCTCTTTCCCGTGTATCCTGCATAATTTTGAATTTAACTCTCGGCTTTTTCCCTGCCCAAATAAATTTATTAATCCCCTTCTGCTATTCTTCCAAATTGGCATCTTTTTTCAAAATAGGTATCATCTGAAATAAAAAAAGAAACTTTGGAATTATATTCATTTTAACTGCTGAAATTCTCCCCAACAAAGATAATTGTAATTTTTTCTAATCATTTAAATCAGTGGTTCTCAACCTGTGGGTCGGGACCCCATTTGGGGTCGAACGACTATTTCACGGGGGTCGCCAAACAATGCAGTCCGCCATTTTTTCCCCCTTTTCCTTAGCTGTGCTACTCCCTTTTATTCTATTGGCTTTTGAAAGCCAATAGAATAGACTCTCTTGAATAGAGTCTAATTCTATTGGCTTTCAAAAGCCAATAGGAATTGTCCAGGCTGTCTCTGCCCTGCTGAGCCCGCCAAAAGTCCCATTCTGCAAATGGTGCTGCACCAGTTGAGTAGTCCTCGACTTATGACCGGTTGAGTAGTCCTCGACTTACAACCGGTTGAGGTCGCGGCATTAAAAAGGTTGAGAACCACTGATTTAAATCCTTTTGCACTTTTACCCATAATGTCTCATAATTATTTTTATACAATTTAACATTAGAGGACGTTAAATATTTGACCTTTCTCACTATTTCAAAACCTGTTAATTTAACTATAATATCCTTTTCCTTCATAGACATATTTTTCGATAATATTTTAGTCTTATTATTATTTACCTTAAAACCAGAAACCTTCCCATACTGAATTAAAATTTCAACCAAATCCCTAACTGAATCTGTCGGTTGAGATAATGTCACAACCAAGTTATCAGCAAAAGCTCTCAACCTATAATATTTTACTTTCATATTTACTATAATTCTCTTAAATAGTCCAAAATGCACAGGCAGTTATAGTAATTGATTTGGGAATAAGCCAAAATTAATTTAGTGGAATATAATAGATATATAATTACATCAATAAGATATCCAAAGGAGGATGACATCTATGGACACCAATGTCTTAAACACCTCCCTTTGATATTCATCCAGTTCCTTTGAATTAAAAAAGAAACCTAACAATACTCATATTTATTATTATTGCTTAAAAATAATAAAAAAAATCAAATGTTACTTTGATAAAAAGTATTAAATAGGAAACAGCACATTGCAAATCAGTTTCCAGCATTCTAATATACAATGATAAAGAAAATCCTGGCCATCCAGTCTGGTAGATCTAATCATTCATGTTAATTAAGAAATATTAAAATACTTATAGTCAGAGCAGTTTTTAATTCAATGCAAATAAGTTCTCTGAATTATCATTCAACAGGCAGATAGTTCATTCCATATGCAGATTTTTAGTAAAGAAGGAACCAACATCAAATACATCCTAAATGCTGCTGTATAATTAGCAGATTACTGTATTTTATTGTCAAATAACAAAACAGGGGGGTGTCATTACAAATGGGGAGTTCACAAAGGAAAAATGATACAAATTACCAAGTACTGATTAAAATTAATTGCCTCTAAACAAAACCACCTCATTAATGAAATAAATGCTGTAAATGCAAAGGAAGAATTCATTTTATTACATTTCTATCCTCCCACGATCAAATGTGACTTTCATGATCCTTCAATTATTTTCTCTCAAACATGCAAGCACCCACCACAGAAATACACAAGTACACATATACAAATATACACAAACCTATCTTTATTGCTTAAATAGGAAAAACGAGAGTTGGATGGGGTAGAGGTAGCTATACTGGATTAAAAAGGAAACAGAATGAGGGAGCAAACTGGATGGAGATGAGCAAAAGAAAGATAGCTAAACAAGTATAGAATGAAAAGAGAAACAGCCCTCATTCAGCTTTACAGAAAGAATTAAGATATATTGGATAAGCAGCACCACTTAAGTATAAGCTAACCTTCAACATTATTTGTTCCTCCGACCTGTTATTTTCAAAACTATCATTCTCCCAGTGAATGGAAGACCAACCCTTCCATTCCCAAGTTATTATTTGAAGAAAAAACTACAGCATGGTTCTTCCTGTTTGGGCCAGTGGGATGATTAAATAATCAGGATCTGTTTAACACATGGGGCAGTTTCTTCAGTCCTGGCCCAAATCATGATTATTACTGACACTGGAAAATTGTGGTCTGTCTATGAATATTGACTATAGCTTCAACTGGTGTAAAATATAGTGTCAGGACAGTTATATGTATGCCTAGAACAGGGGTAGGCAACCCAAAACACTTGAAGAGCCACTTGGACCCGTTTCCCACCAAAAATAAAACACTGGGAGCCGCAAAACCCTTTTGATATCTAAAATGAAGATAACACTGCATATATCCTTTTTTACCTTTATTATAGGTGTGTGTTTGTGTGTGTGTGTGTGTGTGTGTGTGTGTTTGTGTGTGTGTATGTATGTGTGTGTGTGTATATATGTGTGTGTGTGTATATGTATATGTGTATGTGTGTGTATATATATATATATATATATATATATATATATATATACACACACACATATACATATACATACACATACACACACAGTAAAAAAAGGATATATGCAGTGTTATCTTCATTTTAGATGTCAAAAGGGTCTCTGTCTGTCTCTCTCCCTCCCTCCCTCCCTCTCTATCTGCCCTTGGTCTGCCACTCCTCTTCCCCCCCTCTCTCTCTTTCTCTCTCTCCCTCCCTCCCTCCCTCTCTCCCCCCCTCTCCTATGTGCTGCTCACCTGGCAAGCTTCAAGCTGTTGTCCAACAAGCTCAGGGGTAGGCAACCTCGGCTCTTTTATGACTCATGGACTTCAACTCCCAGAATTCCTGAATCAGCCTTAGCTGGGCTAGCTAGCTCTCTCCTGCCCTTCCTGCTTCCTGTTTCCTGCAGAGATGCAGCAAAGGGAGGAGCTCCGCCCAGTAAGCTTTTCAGCTCCTCGGAGAACACTGTGAGTGCATTCTCTTTTACACACACACACAAACACACACACACACACACACAGAGAGAGAGGGGGGGGGCAGGGAAGTGCAATTGCCTTTCTCTGTCTCTGTCTCTCTCTGCAAAGGCAGAGGAGGCTAGGAGCCACAGGCGAAGGCTCAAAGAGCCGCATGCGGCTCCGGAGCCGCAGGTTGCCGACCTGTGGCCTAGAAGGATACACTTTAAAACTCTGTTCCATTAGCTATACAGCAGTCTTTCT